GCTGAATCAGGAGGATCACAAGCTCAAGGCGAGCCTGGGGAACTTAGCAAGACCCTGTCTCAAAAATTTAAACAAGAACAACAACAATAAAAAGAGTTGGAGATGTAGCTTGGTGGTAGAGCTCTTCCCTAGCACATGCCAGGCCCTGGGTTCAATCCCCAGTACTGCTAAATAAATAAATAAGTAAATGAAACAAACTACCTCCCTGGGAATGGTTCTGTCATTTTTTCCCAGCTGAAACCTGTTCCTTGGGGGAAGAGAAAGGGAAAATAAGTACTGGGGAGGCCAATAACAGTAGCTGCCAAACTCTGTCCTGGTATTTGGTCTTCACCACCCTCCTATAGAATGTCCCAGCATTCCTGACTCTCCACTCAGGCCCTCTCAGGAACCACTAGTGCCCCTAGCACTTACAAGTGTTTGCTGCAGTCAAGCTAGTTGTATTTCATTTAATGAACAGTTAAAAATCATACTAGAAAGCATGGCATTTACTTTATTTAGGTGACCATTTTTACCAAAGAATTTGGGGTTCATTGTCTTTCTTGAATGGAACTTTGGAATAATCATTTTCTCCTTCTTTCCTTTCTTCTTTCCTTCCTCCCTCCTTCCCTTCCTTCCTTCCTTTTTTTCTCCTCCTCTTCCTACCCCTTTCACTCCTCTCTTCCCTCTCCTCTTCTTCTTCTAAATGGATTCAGTAATTGATCCTGGGGTATTATCATACAAATGCAGGTGTTAGATATCATTAAGTATAAATTAATCTTGGACTGGGGACATAGCACAGTGGTAGAGCACTTGCCTAGGATGCACAAGGCCCGGGTTCAATCCTCAGCACTTCAAAAATAAGACAAAACAACCCTGAGAAAACTTTAAGAAGATAGTATTGAAGTAGTTACACATAGAGATCCCAGATCTCTATGTGAGAAATAAGAAGTCCTTCCTAGGACTGTGTAGTATTTACTCAGTTCTTACATAATATACATTTCACCTTAACAAAAATTAAGAAGAAAATTGCTTTAGAAATTTTATCAAAAAGTAACCCTGATACATTTACACAAAGACTGGTACAGGATTGTTCAAAACAGCATTATTTTTTTAAAAAATTAGTTGTAGATGAACATTATTATTATTGTTTTATGGACATTTTATTTTTATTCATTTTTATGTGGTGCTGATGATGGAACCCAGCGTCTCACATGTGCTAGGCAAGTGCTTTACCACTGAGTTACAACCCCAGCCCCAACAGTATTATTCACTAATGCCCCAAAGTGAACGCAGCCCAAATGTCCACTGACTGATGAATGGCTAGAGAGTATGGTATGTCCTTAAGCAGGATATTATCCAGACAGGGGAATGAAGTACTGATATATCCTACAACCCAGATGAGTCTCAAAAATGTCACACCAGATAAAAAAAAAAGCCAGATTACAGGAAGCCACGTATCATGACTCCATTTGAATGAAATAGCCAGAAACAGTCGATCAGAAACAAGGTAAATTCAGGGGAAGTGGGGTAGCATGACTGCAAATAGTCACCGAGGATCTTTTAGAGTAAGATGGAAATGTTCTAAATTGGATTATGGTCATGGTCAAACAACTCTGTAAATTTATTAAAACACATTGAATTAATGTACTGAAAGCATCTGAATTTTATAAAGTAAGTCATTTAAAAAAGAAATGGCCTCTAGTAGACATTGATGTGAACTTTTAATGTGAGCTTTTAATGTGAACCTCTTTATTCAGCAGTGTACCGAAAAATTAAAATGAACATCCCTCCATCAACATTTTCATAGTCTAAAAAATCAGAACTCTAAATTAAAATTTATGTTTTAAATATTATTATTTAAATATTCCAAAGCCCATCCACATCAATTCTGGAATTTTATCTCATCTGATCCTATGGTATTTCTCTTAAGGGTGAATTCTGATCTGCAACCAGATCTGAAGTGCCTGTCATTGGATAGGATGTTCTGTGGTAGTTCAGAGTCTATGGTGTGATATATTCATCTTTCTTCTCCTCTCAAAGGTCTCAAAAGGCTTATGGAAGGCTGAACACGATGATTGGTCTTATTTTTTTGCTGTCCAACCATTTATTTGATCTTGCTCCATATATTCCAGACCATCCAATGGATTTATAGTAAACTTCCAAGATGAAGGGAAATTTCTTGCTCATATTAGCCTGAAATCCTGACTTTTTTTCATCTTAATAAACATAAAACATGCTCCAAAATTGCCCATAAAATTCCTTCCTTTTTTTATTTTATTTTTTTGTTTTTTCTCTTTTTTATTGTTTTTTAAAAATAAATTACAGCGGAATGCGTTACAATTTTTATTCCACTTATACAGCACAATTTTTCTTATCTCTGGTTGTAGATAAAGTATGTTGACACCAATTTGTGTCTTCATATGTGTACTTTGGGTAATGATGTCTATCACATTCCACCATCTTTTCTAATCCCCTGCTCTCTCCCTTTCCCTCCCACCCCTCTGCCCTATCTAGAATTCATTTATACCTCCCATGCTCCCCCTCCATACCCCACTATGAGTCAGCTTCCTTATATCAGAGAAAACATTCAGCATTTGTTTTTTGGGGATTGGCTAACTTCACTTAGCATTATCTTCTCCAATACCATCCATTTATCTGCAAATGCCATGATTTTATTCTCTTTTATTGCCGAGTAAAATTCCATCGAGTATGAGTATATGTGCCACATTTTTTTTTTTTTTTTTTTATCCTTAAAATTCCTTCCTTTAGAGTTCTGTGCCTTCCATCCGCAGGCATGTGCTAGTCTTTTTCTCCCCTTGCATTTCCACGTTTTCTCGCAAGGTGGCACTAAATGCCTTGTTTGGTGGTCAGGGCTTCTGTGTAGGCTCGATTTTGTTTCCTGAGTGCTGGAGCCTCTTCAAATGAGTGTTCAATAGCAAGTAGGTGTTCACAATTAATCAGGGGCTTCTCTGGTGTTCAGAAG